GACACAAATGCTTCCACGTCCCTTCTCGCTATTCCTTTCCTTTGAGACACCTGTTCTTCCTTTGGTCTGTCTCCTAACTGAGTTCCTTTGTGTTCACTTAAAGTCCCCCTTCCTCTAAGCAGCCTGTTTTGATTCCCTGATTCCCTTCACAAACCCTTCTCTTCCCTGACCTTTGATAGCACCCACTTCTGCATGTGGCGAGGAAGTCCAGGGTGGCTACCTTGGGTGGATATCTCATCTCTCAGCCTAACTGTGAACTTCTTGCGGTGGAGGGGTAGACCCTTGTCTTGGAGGAGTCTCAGCACAAGGCTGGGCTTGGAGGAGGTCCTCAATCCTTATGCGTTGACTTGGGATTTGATTTGGCAGGATTGGGCCCATACCCATCAGAATACAGTCTGGGCTTTGTCAATTCCCAGTAGGGCAGAAGTGCTTAAGAAGAAAACCTGCCACCACTGGGAAATCCCTGGCATGTGTGCTGGCTAAAGCAGCCTGTGTGGTGCCTGGATATGTCAGGAGGCACTGGGAACATAGGACAACATTGGTGTAGTCTCAGGGCAGGACAGTGTATTAGTCAGCCTAGGGGCCTGGCTGTGCTTATAGTGTGTTCTTAAACACACTTAAACGCACTATAAAGAAATCCCTGGCTGAGCGTGGTGGCTCACGCCTGTAATCCCAGTACTTCAGGAGGCTGAGGCGGGCAGATCACTTGAGGTCAGGAGTTCGAGACCAGCCTGACCAACATGGTGAAACGCCATCTCTACTAAAAATACAAAAAATTAGCCGGACATGGTGGTGGGTGCCTGTAATCCCAGCTACTCGGGAGGCTGAGGCAGGAGAATTGCTTGAACCTGGGAGGCAGAGGTTGTAGTGAGCTGAGATCCGGTCACTGCACTCCAGCCTGGACGATAGAGCAAGATTCTGTCTCACACACACAGACACACACACACACACACACACACAAAAAAAAAAAAAAGAAAGAAAGAAAGAAAGAAAGAAAAATCCCTGAGACTCAGTAATTTATAAAGAAAAGACATTTATTTTGGCTCACAGTTCTGCAGGCTGTACTGGCATGGCACCAACATTTGCTCAGCTTCTGGTGAGGGCCTCAGGAAGCTTACAGTAAAGGCGGAAGGTGAAGGGGCAGCAGGCATATCACATGGCGAGAAAGAGGGGAGAGGTCTCAGACTCTTTTAAACAACCACATATACGTGAATTGAGTGAGAACTCACTCATCACCAAGCGGATGGTGCTGAGCCATTCATGAAGGATCCTCTCTCACGATCCAAGTACTTCCCACCAGGCCCCACTTCCAACACTGGGAATTACATTTCAACATGAGACTTGGAGGGGACGAGCATCCAAACCATACCAGACAGTGAGACAGGAGACCTGTGTGTGTCCAAGCTGCACTGGTCTGAAGATATAACTAGGTCCCTGGACTTTTTCTCCCTTACTTGGAGAATTCCTAATGTTCCATGGTCAGCCTGATTGACCAGTGGCTGACCGGTCCTGAGAGGGGAGATAAAAAATAGACATACAGCTTTCTCCATAGACAAATCTCAACACTTTATTCATCCTGTGGCAGCGAGAAGGGGACATGGCCCCAAGATAGCCAATCAGGTGAGGGGGCTGGAGCGTGTGCTATCTATCCAGATAGTACATACAGACTGATCATGCAGAAACAGGAAGGGAAGCAATAAGTTAAAAGCCACATAAGTTATGAAAAAATAATATATACTTTATATATCTTGTATCCCCACTGAGGATTTGCTCCCTTGGAAACCAACGAAGAGCCTGAGGAAAAGCACCAATCAGCACCCTCTTTTGGGACTTCGGGGATGAGAATATCTGAGTTCCCATGGCCGGAGAGTCAGTAACCCGCCAGTGCTCCCCACAGGCCTGGAGGGCCTTGAGGCCTGGGGGCCCAGACCTCTGGCCAGCATGTCCTGGAAAATGAGATGAACGAATCTAATGCAGTTTAGAAGAGGAGGTGAGGCGAGGGGCAGGGAGGGGAGATGAGAGAGAAGGAGGAAAGGAAGCTGTGCAGTGGGAGGCTGGTGCCACTGGGATGCCTCTGCAAGCCTCAGCATTGAGAGCCAAGAGGCGGAGACAGGAGTATGCCTGCCAGCACCCCCGTCTTCTGGTGGAATGTGGAATTTCCCTCTCTGGTAGAGCCCTTGTAAGGCTGTCATTCAGGCCCCACAGCTGGACCTCAAGGGCTTGGAAGCTCCCAGACTTGCCTGGACTGTGCCTTCTTGCTGGCCGGCCAGAGGCAGGGGGAATGGGCCTGGAGGGAGGAGGGGGACAGGGTGAGAAGAAAGGAGGAGCTCTAACTCCATAGGTGTGGGGAGTTCCTGGGCTCCTCCATGAATGCCGAGGAGGGGAGGGCAAGGCTATTTGGCCCAATGGAGAGGAGAACAGAGGCCCTGAGAAGTGAGATTCCTGGGAAGTAGACCTGGGGCTTCATGGCAGGGGTGGGACCAGGGGTCTCCAGGGCTAGGTGCACCAAAACCAGGTGTTTAGGCTGGGAACAACCTGGGCTGGGGGCAGAGAGCTCAGATCCCAGGCTGGTAGGACGCCAGTATGGCAGGGAGGTGAAAGGAAGATCTAATGCTCCTGCCTAATCTCAAGCTGCCATCTGGCTTCCACTCCCAGGGAGCTGATTATGGCAAGAATAGCTTCCAGAGAAGGTGCTAGGAGCTGGTTGGGGGCAGCCTGTTCAGTTCTGACTGTGGCCTACTGGGAGGGACCCATAGGAGGAGGGAGGGGTGCAGGTGTTCGGGCTGATCTCTGGGGCCTAGGCTTAGGCCCCCAACACCCAGGGCCCCTCCTCCCTTCACTCCGTAATACTGTCGGGTCTCTGGGGAGCCCAAGGAGCATGGGAAAGCCAAGAGGGTCTTCAGCAGCCAGACTTCCCAGGAACTCCAGATACAGGACAGGGCCCACACCGTCCTCCTCGGCTCCCGCCTGTAGGTGGATGAGCCGGTCCCAGGCTCAGTTCCGAGGCAGAGGCAAGGCAAGGCTTGAGATAGGAGTCAAGGTCAAGGACTGGGCAAGAGTCAGAAGGGCCTTGGCAGAGCCCAATGCTGGAGGAGGGGCCTCAGAGGAACAAGGAGGTGGAGACAAAACTGACCCCTAATTCCAGCTCACCCATCAGGAAAACCTCTGGCCAGAAGGTTGGAAGGACGGGACTGTGAGATACTGATACGGAGCGGAGTGGCTCTGAGCAGCTGCTGATGCTCCTCTCCCACCCTGGCAGCCCACAAAACAGCAGTCAGTTTTGAACCCCCCCTCTCAGTTCAGTATCAGATTTTGCCTCTCCTCCCAACCTAGAGGCTCCAAGCTGCTCTCTTGAGTCTAGCTTAAGTCCTTTCTGCTGCAGTGGAGTGCCCTGGGGGTCCTGGGGTCCCGTCGCCTCACTCTGAGACCTCCGACTCCTGTGAGAAGTACTTCTCTGACATTTCGGTGATTTGGATCACGGGGCCTTTGCTGCCCTTCTTCTTTCGTGAGGGGGCCTTGGAGAGGCCTGACCTGGAGGCAGCTACAGGGAACATAAGGGGTAGGGGAGGGAAGGGGCTGGAGGTTTGGGAGCCACTTAAAATGATGCCTTTAGGATCATGATCCCCTACACCCTCACCCCCACCCCACCATGGGTTCTTAGGGCAAGAGGACTCACCGGTTTTGCACCTGGACTGCACAGCGCTGACCACAGTGGCTGAGGGCAAGTCCATCCTGGGGGTGAGGGGTGGGGGGTGGGAGAGGGATATGATGGGATGTGAAGGGAGCCTGTGGCTTAAACTGCCCTGGGGGCTGGCAAGTGGAGGGCAGTTCTTGGTGGTCTCTCCCAGCCCTGGGGTTGTTCTGTTGTGTGGCGCTGGCTAGCCAGCTTGTCCTCTGTGGACCTCTGGCCCCTCTCCATGGCATAAATGGCTAATAGCACTGAGCACTGAGTTTTGACAGGCATTTGCCTGCATAATCACATGAATCATCCCTGCCACAGGTGAACCATGTTTATGATCAGCCCACTTTCCAGATGGGAAAACAGGATGAAATGAACTGGGCCAAGGTCCCAGTTTGTAAGTGACTGAGCCAGGACTTAAACCCAGGCCTGCCAGGCTCACTGTATCATGTTGGAAAGGAGAAATGACTTTGTGTAGGCCTGGGCCTCCAGCCCTCCTTCCCCTCCAGCCCTTCCTCACCAGCCCTGGCTCTCACCGGCCCTCCTCGCCCTCCATCAGCTTCCTGTAGGTGGCGATCTCAATGTCCAGGGCCAGCTTGACATTCATCAGCTCCTGGTACTTGCGCAGCTGCCGCGCCATGTCCTGCTTGGCCTGCTGCAGGGCGGCCTCCAGCTGGGCCAGCTTGGTCTTGGCGTCCTGGAAGGCCAGCTCACCCTGCTCCTCAGCTGCCTTGATGTTCTCCTCCAGTTTCAGGCACTGCAGCCAGGAGGACAGAGGGAAAGGGCCTGTGAGCAGGGGAAGGAGGAGCAGGCCAGGGCCAGGAGTCATCTCTGTCCTTGGTGGGGTTGGGTGTGGGGAGGGAGGGCTGAGCAATGGCATTTCTGGGTGTGGTAACTGGTTGCTATGCAGCAAGAGGGAGTTCAGTTCAGCCCGAAGAGGCACCTTCCCAAGGCCACTAAAGGAGCCTGTCCTGGCTGTCCTTATGGGGCAGCACCTGCCCTGACGGTTTGTCCTGACTGGAAGCTGGGACTTAGGCCTCTACTCCCTCCTCTCTGTGTAGTTGTTGGGGGGCTCCCAGGAGGGAGGCAGTGGGCTCTGGGTGTGCGTGGTGCGGGGGCTTTCTAACGTTCCAGCAGCCTTGATCAGTTTATAGAGTATTTTTGTATGCGGAGCTCACACGATCCTCATAATTATTTTAGGAGGCTGTACTATTATCCCATTTGACAGATTAGGAAACTGAGGCACAGAGGCGCTAAGCGACTCACCCAGGGTCATTTAGCACATATGACTGTGTCTCCCTGCTCTCCTCCCCACCCCCAGGCACGTCCCCCAGATACTCACATGGCTCTTGACAGAGAGGATCTGGGACCGCAGCTTCTGGATGCGTACATTGAGGTCCGCGATCTCACTGCGGCTGCTCTGGAGGCTGCTCCCATACTCGGCCGAGCGGGCGACCTGCTCCTCCAGCTGGAGGTACGTGGAGGTCTCAGTGAGGGGCAGCTCAGTGCCATTCCCAGCACCTGTTACCCGCCTCTGCTTTTTCTTGCACCCCCCAGTCCCATCTCCAACTCTGCAGCCCACCACGCCATGCCAGGCTCCCTCTGCTTCCCCTACCACCTCACTTTCTAGGTGGCCTCCTCCTGGCTGCCCTAGCTGAGCCCCATGCCCACATCTGGCCTGGCATTGCTGATAACAGCACCACCTCGAACTCCTGGAGGGCACAGACCAGCTTCTGTGGTCTCCCCCCACCTGCCCGCCCCTGTGCTTCTCCATTCCTCTCTCATAGACTCTCAGGACAGAGAGCTGCAGGCAACCTCAGCCATCACCAGTCCAGCCCTTCCTGCCACCCGGAGAGCTGTCCAGGCTGCTTCTCCTGCCCTGCATGGTCAGCCCCACCTGGCTCCGAGAGTATGCCTCAGCCTCCTCCAGGCTGCGAGCCGCAACGGCGTCATACTGGGCCTTCACCTCCTCCACGATGCCGCTCAGGTCGATGTGGCAGCGGCTGTCCATGCCAACGGTCACCGACACATCCTTCACCTGTGCTGCCAGATCCTTCAGCTCCTGGCCGGGCACAGGTGTGGGGGCTCAGGGCTGGTGGGGAGGGCACAAGGACCCTCAGTCCCACACAGTCCCTTTGTCCCCGGGGTGAGCAGGGAGTGGAGCTGCTCCCTTCCTGTCCCTCTGGAGAGATGACGGAAGACCGAATGCCTCCCTGCTATGTCTCCCCAGCCAGGACTCTCAGAAGGCAGCTCACTGCCCACTGCTCACCCACCCTTGGTCCTCCTCTCTGGGTGGAGGGCAGGCTGGGACTGTAGGTTCTAAAAGCTACCCCGCAAGCTTCCCCACTGCTTGCCCTGCTGCCCTCCTCCAGGAGGGATAGCCTCCTCCTGGCTGATGGGAAAGCCCCGAGAAGTCAGGCTCTGGGGCTGTGAGTTGGGCCCCTCTGTTCACTGTTTCATTATTCCTGTGCTGTGGGGTGCAGCTCTGCCTCTCCCACTGGGTGAGGAGCTCCCTGTGAGCTTGGCAGAGCCGTGTTCATCTCTGAGTCCCTGTGTCTGGGAAAGGAGTGCCTCAGTTCATTTGGTAAATGTTGGGAGGGAAGCAAGTGAGTGACCAGGGTTGGGGAGGGGTGGAGGCTGACAAACCTGTACTCCCCTTTCCCGGCCCCACTGAAAGCCAACAGCCTGTGAGGGGCCTGGGCGCAGCCTCTGGTGCTGACTTCAGGGTCCCCCTGGAGACTCACCGCCCGCTCCCTCTCTAGCCAAGGGACATTGCCTGGATGACCACAATATTTTCACCATCTCCTCCCTATCCCTGGAGACTTCTGGAAATGGTAAAACCCACCATTCCCCGAGGACTTCCCTACAGGCTGGACTGTGTGCTGAGCGCTTTCCACACATCCTCACCAGGCTGGCACTGCTGCGGCCCCAGAGGAGGAAACTGAGGCACAAAGATGGTGTGGAGACAGCAGTGAGTGGCAGGATGGGCCCCAGAGCCCCTGCTGCTGTTGCTGCTGTGACACTCCTTTAGCGTGTGGAGACAAGGAGCTGACACCTTCTTCATTGTCCTTCTGGCCCCAGACCAGCTTTCTCTCCTGCCCACAGCCTTGCAGCTTTCTAGCCAGAATGCTCAGGGGTGTGTAGGGAGGCAGGTGGGACCAGGGAGCTCTAGAGGCTGCAAAGGGCCCTGGGTTGCTTACCCTGGAGATGCTGAAAAGGGTAGGGCCTCCCTGTGGGAAGGAGGAGCAAGGGGAGTCAACCGAGCATTGTGCCGAGTGAGCTGATGGCAGGGAGGGAGCCAGGTAGGAGGTGGGTGTTGGGCGCAGACACATCGTGCTCCTTCTGGCATTTACAGTCCACCCCGACCCCTATTTCAATCATCAAATTTCAGTCAGCATTCCCATTTTGCTGACCGCCTCATAATTTTTTAAACGTGTTTGTTTGAATCAAGATCCAGACAAGGCCTGTATACTGCAGTTGGTCCATATGTCTCTAGGTCTCTTGTAATCTCCATTTCTCTCTTTTTTGTTCTTTGCCATTGTTCTTATTGAACACACTGGCTGTCTGCCTTGCGGAGTCCCCACAGCTGGGTTTGATTGTTGTACCCTGTGCCAATGTTCAACGTGCTCTTCCAGCCCCAATATTTCCTGAAAACTGGCTGGTGCACCCGGATGCCTGCTGGGATCCAGGCTCAGCTTTTTAGCTCCTGACTGTGTTCTGATCCTGGTTCCTAACTCTGGGCTCCCTCCTGATCCTCTGTCCCTCTTTCTGCTCAGAGAGTTTGTGCTGAGGCCTTTGGTTTCTGTCTCAGGCAGAGGCTGGACTTCTGAACTGTAGACAACAGGGATGAGGGGCCAGCTAGGGCTGTGTGGGCAGCCGCAAAGGCCTGTCTGGGAACTGACTCTGCCCAACAGCACCTCGTGGTGACAAGGATGGTGTGGAAGTGGCAGGCATTCGGAAGCCCCTCTGGGGGACAGCCTATCTCTGCCCTGGAGTTGGCAGGACCCTGAGCTCAGTGGCCAGCTGCCCTTGCATGTCTCCTGCTGGGGGTTTTGGTTGATCTTCAAATGAAAATATAAATCTCTGGGAAAAGCAGGCTGATGGCCCAACCCGTGCCAGAGTAAGATCAATTGTTACCATAGCCCCACCTCTCCTGCCCCGGTCACTAGTGGACATTTCCCATGTGGCACCAGCACCCTGGCTGGGGCTTGGCTGGGGACAGTTTCAGAGTTGCAGCTTTGAGGCTGTTTTGGTTGACACATTGTGGGCATCAGTGGGGGTGGGGGGCCCCAGATAGAGCCCTCCAGTGTGCTTCTACACGAGGGCCTAACTTGGCATTCGTTATGGCCCCAGGAAAGGCCAGCGCACTGTGAGGACGCACTATAGTAGGACTTCCCAGTCAGGGTAAAAAGACTGGCCAGACATTTTCTGGAATGAGGCAGGCTAAGCAGGAGCTTGGTAAACAAAAGCAGGAAATGGAGCATTCAGAACATCCACAGACCTGTTCAGACACGCAGGCCCCTGCCGGGCTGCAGAGAGTATGACAATGCTGGCTGTGTGGTGTGGAGGTGCCCCATGGGATGGGCTCCCTGGAGAGCACGTGAGCCTCCAAATGGTTAAGAATTAAGCCGAAGTACAGTTTAGGGCTTCCCTTAGGAGGCTGCTGTGCATGTGAGCACCCTCACTGTGTTCCCCACGTCAGGGTAGATCGTGACTCTTACGGAGTAACAGTGTTGGAGAGTAAAATGTAGCGCTAATGGCTCTGGACACTGAATACCATCACTTCTTCTTCTTCTTTTTTTTTTTTTTTGAGACGGAGTTTCACTCTTGTTGCCCAGGCTGTAGTGCAATGGTGCAATCTTGGCTCACTGCAACCTCCGCCTCCTGGGTTAAAGCAATTCTCCTGCCTTAGCCTCCCAAGTAGCTGGGATTATAGGCATGCACCACCATGCCCAGCTAATTTTGTATTTTTAGTAGAGACGGGGTTTTACCATGTTGGTCAGGCTGGTCTTGAACTCCTGACCTCAGGTGATCCACCTGCCTCGGCCTCCCAAAGTGTTGGGATTACAGGCGTGAGCCACTGCGCCCGGCCAATCCCTTCTTATTAGTTGAGTAACCCTGGTCAAGCTTTTAAATGTGTCTAAGCCTTGGTTTTCTCATCTGTAAAATGGATCTAATTATAGAGCTGAAAACAGCTAATATTTACTGAATGCGTACCATGTGTCAGTTACTGTTCTAAGTATTTTAGGATACGTTAACAAAAAAAAATCCTCACAACAGCCCAGTGAGGTAGATGCTATTATTGTCCCCATTTTATAGATGGGGAAATTGAGGCATATAGAGATAAAATAGCCTGCTCCAGTTCCCACAGTTACTGAGCCAGGATTCAAATCCCAGCTGTTCAAAATCTGTGCTGTCTTAATTATTATCCCTACTTCATAGAGTCGTTGTGAGGGTTAACTGAGATTAAGACTGGAAAGTACTTAGCACAGTGTCTGGAATATATTAGGTGCTCACTAAATAGTAGTTAAGGATTCTCTATTATGGTAATTGGTAATAGTGATAAAGCTGGGACGAAGTGTCCAGAGGCAGAGCAGTCTAGTCTTGGGGCAGCCTCCATGCAGAAGTTTAGGCAGCACTGGCTTCTCTCTGCAGGGATGGGCCTCCCTCGAGGTGTGCCTGGCTGCAGGGGGTTGTCAGCAGATTCCACAGCTAATCTCCCTGGAGCCAGAGTGTAGGGGTGGGGTAGGTGGCATTCCAACTGGATGCAGCCAGGCCCAAACACACTTGGGAGCTGTACTGTGTCTCAGAAATTGCGGGGGACCCTTCCAGCCTGTGCCCCCGAGGAGAGAGGCAGAGGGTTTGCAGCAGATGCGGTCTGAGCAGATCATGGCCATGAGCCCCTGCTCAGTTGGCTGGGAAGGGCTTTTCAGAATGTATCCTGGCCGTGTGTGTGTGTGTGCACATGTATGTGCACACACACACACATGTGTTTTGGAGAGAGGAGAGGGCTGTTTTCTGGGACACAGGTGTGGGCCTATATTTCTGATCTGGTGTCTGCTCCAAAGCTGAAACTAGAATATCGGGGCCTCCTGGGCCACGCGTATTCTTCCACCTGAGGCAGACGTGGCTGGCACAGTCTTTGCTCAGAGCTGCTCTGTCCAATGAGGTAGATGTTGAAATAATTATATTTTGGATATATTGGGCTAAATGGAATATATTATTAAAATTATTTTTTCTGTTATTTTAAAATGTGGCAACTAGAAAACTTAAAATTACATATGCAGTTCACATTTCTATCAGACAACACTGAGTTAGACACCCTCTGGTGTGGGGAATATTTTTGGCAAAGAGTCAGCATTGCCCTCTTAGCCTGCAGCAGTGTATGGAGAGAAAGGCAAACCTCCAATTTCAATCCCATCTTTTTGCTCCCAAAAGTAATAATAACTGCTGTTGTGCCCTGGCCCCTACTGCCTTCACTGCAGGCCCTTCTCCATGGCAGGCTCAGGATAGCACAACCACACCTGAAACCCGCTGTGTGCCGCCCCGCCCCAGTGCCCACTGGAGGCTGCCTGTCACACTCAGAATGAGGTCCGAGTCGTGAGCCAAGCCTGTGAGGCGCTCTCTGACCCGAGGCTCCCACCCTGCCCTGTGCTCTGACCGGAGGCTTCTTTCTTTTCCTTTAATCGCCAGGCTCCCTCCTGCCTTAGGGGCTTTGCATAGCAATTCTGTGCCATCTCCAGTCTGCACCGGGCTGGATCTCTGCCACTCTTGGGGAGGGTACCGCCTCTGAGAGGCCCTGCCCATGGGCTCTGAGGCTCTCTACTCCCTCCAGCTCCAGTGCAGCACCCGGTTTCTTTGCATCCCAGAATCTGTCACCCTGCAAAGCCATCTTGTCCAGATATTTGCTGACTTGCTTATGACTTCTC